CCGCCCCTGCACACCGCCACGTCGGGCTGGGCTTGGCGCGTTGCTAAGGCCTGCATGTATCCTGGAGACGGCGCCCAGCAAATAGCTGAGCCGCTCTCTGGAAAGCCAATATCGCAGCCCGGATTGCAGTGCTCCGGCACGCTAGGGCTTTCTGCAAGAAGGAATTCAATGTCTTCCTTCTGCTAAAGCTGATGGCGACGGTTCCTTCGGCAAAGAAGATGTGGAAACCCACGGATGTGCTGAGAGCATCCCCCTGAGATAAGGGGGTGGGGAGGGGGCGTTTTGGCACACGTGCTGTGCGGGACCAGCAATGGCTGTGTCAAATGATTCAGACTTCTGCTTTTAAGAGCTGCAACGCAGCTTTTGTCCACAGCCCTCTGCCCCCCTCCGTGTCCCTGCTGTGGGCTGTACAGCAGTCACTTAATAAGCCTGCTGCTATTCCTTTTTTTTTTTTTTTCCTCCTTTTTTTCCTTTCTTTTTCTCCTCTTTTCCTTTCCATCCTTCCTTTCCTCTTCCTCTCCCCCTTTCCTTTCCTCCTTCCCTTTTCCCCTTTCTCTCTTTCCTCCTTCCCTTTTTCCCTTTCCTTCCTTTCTTCCTTCCCTTTCCTTTTTTCCCCTTTCTCTCTTTCCTCCTTTTCCCCTTCCCTCCTTTTCCCCTTCCCACCCTCTTCCCTTCCCTTTTCCCCTTCTCTTCCTCCCTTTCCCTATTCCTTTTCCTTTTTTCCCCTTTCTCTCTTTCCTCCTTCCCTTTTTCCCTTTCCTTCCTTTCTTCCTTCCCTTTCCTTTTTTCCCCTTTCTCTCTTTCCTCCTTTTCCCCTTCCCTCCCCTTTTCCCTTCCCCTCTTCCTCTTCCTCCCCTTTTCCCTTCCCCTCTTCCTCTTCCTCCCCTTTTCCCTTCCCCTCTTCCTCTTCCTCCCCTTTTCCCTTCCCCTCTTCCTCCCCTTTTCCCCTTCCCCTCTTCCTCTTCCTCCCCTTTTCCCCTTCCCTCCCTTTTCCCTTCCCTTTTCCTCCTCTCCCCCTTTCCTTTCCTCCTTCCCTTCCTCTCTTTCCCTCTTCCTTTCCTTTTCCCCTTTCTCTTTCCTCCTTCCCTTTTTCCCTTTCCTTCCTTTCTTCCTGTGCTTCTCCTTCCTTTCCTTTTCCTCCTTTTCCCCCTTCCCTTTTCCTCCCTTTTCCCCTTCTCTTTCCTCCCTTTTCCCCTTCTCTTTCCTCCCTTTTTCCCCTTCCCTTCCCCCCCTTTTTCCCCTTCCCTTCCCCCCCTTTTTCCCCTTCCCTTCCCCCCCTTTTTCCCCTTCCCTTCCCCCCTTTTTCCCCTTCCCTTCCCCCCCTTTTTCCCCTTCCCTTCCCCCCCTTTTTCCCCTTCCCCTCCCTTTTCCCCCTTCCCTTCCCTCCCTTTTCCTCCCTTTTTCCCCTTCCCTTTCCTCCCTTTTCCCCTTCCCTCCCTTTTCCCCCTTCCCTTCCCTCCCTTTTCCTCCCTTTTTCCCCTTCCCTTTCCTCCCTTTTCCCCTTCCCTTTCCCCCCTTTTCCCCTTTCCTCCCTTTTCCCCTTCCCTTTCTCCCCTACCCTTTTCCCCCCTTTCCCCTTCCCTTTTCCTCCCTTTTCCCCTTCCCTTTCCCCCGGAATATAACAGAATTCCCGCTATAAACTATCGTTGCCATGGAAACTGCAGGAAAACCAACACCTACAACAGTCCGGAGCAGGCCAGATGCCCAACGGGCCACACCAGTTCCTTATTTCAACCCAAACTGGGCGGGGGGGGGATTGCTGAAAAGTCTTTTTATTAATGCCATGTCCTCCCAGCGAATAAGAGAAGGGTGTAAATCTGTAGTGGGGGAAATTCCACGTTTTTCCACCCAAATTCAAGCAGACAAGCTCTGCATATCCACAATTGCATCCACGGGGGGCGGGGGGAGCACTTGGAAATTCAAATTTCCACCCCCCAGGAGGGGAAGGGGCTCTGGTCTCCCCCCAGCTGCGAGCCGAGCAAGGTTTGAACTCCAGGCAGGAGTTAATTGTACAGTTAATTAAGTAGTACTAATAAACAGCTGGAAATGAGTCACAGGCACGTGGGGCTAACTCTGTCCGGGGGGGGGGACAGGACTGGACCCCAGTGGGTGTGGGGGGGTTCTCCTCATGCCACCAGGGTGAAGGTAATGAAAAAAAAGGAAAATAATTGTGTGATACAACCTTTTACCATCAAAAAAAATGTGTATTCGAAGGCTTTATCTGCATAAACTCCTTATTTTAACTCATAAATCACCCCCCCTCCCCAACAACGCACAAATCCCGCTGTAGGATCAGCCAAAAAAATAATAATTTGGGAATAAGGGGTGGGGTTTTTTTGTGCTTTTCTCCTTCCTGATTAGATTTAATCCCACCAGAGCTGCCCAGGTGGCGGGGGGAGCCCCATTTTGGTGCTGGTAACCCCAAATAAATACATTTATTGGTGATATTTGGAATTCAATCTGTATGGTAAGGTGGCACATGACCCCAAAACAGGGAAAAAAACCACCAAAAATGGCTTGTTTCCCCGTAAAATTTGGATAAAATGACATAAATGCACGGCTTGCTCCCCAAAATGGGCTTTTCATCCCCTAAAGTGAGGAACAAGCACCCCCTAAAAGTAGGTGGTTCCCCCCAAAATGGGTGGCTCCCCCCCTCAAAATGTGAAATGAACACTCCCTAAGTGGGTGCTACCCCCCAAATGGGGGCTCCCCCCCCTAAAATGGGTATTTTTCCCCCCTATATGGGGAACAAGCACCCCCTAAGTGGGTGCTCCCCCCAAAAAATAGGGAGGAAACATCCCCTAAGTGAGTGCTCCCCCCCAAAATGGGTGGTTTTCCCCACATCCAGGGAAAAAATACCCCCTAAGTGGGTGCTTCACCCCAAAAATAAGGAAGAACCCCCCCCAAATGGGCATTCCCCCCCTAAAATAGGTGC